TCCAGCATTACGAAATATTCATCAAGCACGAATTCACATGAACATTGTCCTAAGATAAGGCATTTGGTATCCTTGATTAAGTCCTAAGAGTAGTAAGTAAAGATCTCTATAACCGCAGGCAAAGGTGCAAACAGTTGGCATGCATGCCTAAATATATTGGGTTAAGTATATGGTATCTGCAAAATCTGAAAAAAAAGCATAAGTAATGAATGTACTAAATATTTAAATAAATATACCAGACCTCATATACATTATTATACTAGATGATTTCACAGGTATTTATGTGATATGAACAGCCTGTTTTTCCCCTAGATGCCCATTAGAGCATTCAGGTGATAATTTGTGAAATTACCTAGTGATATGAGAAGCTTTTGCTGATTTTCAGCCCTGTTTATAATTCAGCACAGACTTTGATTTAGTAACACACATGCATGCACACAAAATCTGAACGATCGGCTAGCTCTGTCACTAAAATTACACTATGTAATAAATTAGAACTGAGCGCTTGTTCATGCAGGTGTGATTGCTGGTTAAATACCCATCTTATTTTTCTCAGCCCTTCCAGCTGAAATCATTTCTTTTCTGTAATTCTCTTCTACTACAATCCTTAAATTCCGCTCACATGAAGTCTTCAAATCCTAATCCTGTTAGTACACAGACTTCTGAAGCACTTTCTCCCTCTCCTACTCTCTATATATATTTATGGAAGGAGGGAGCAGTTAATCCTACAAAGGGCCTACAGGTGCAGTTCAACTGCACAGATGGCAGAAGGAGGCACAAGTTAAATACCCGGCATTACTATGTCCTTCAAGTGTGCTTTGTTTGGTTGGCCTTAGCATAGTTAAAATGAAAGAATGGGAATTTGATGCTTTATGTTGCCTTTTGAAATTTTATGATGACTTTATTATTATTGCTATACTTTTAGACTTGCAGCTTTCCCCCCCTGGTTGTAATGAATACATATAATGCAGAAAAGGGAAATATACAGTATAATGCCAATGACTTTAATAGTAAAATGGTTCTTCAATGCTTGATTGAAGAAAGATAGAATAACCATTGTGTGTTGTGTGTCTTTCAAAATCCAGCCCACTGGGTAGGTTTGACCAAAGCACCAGGCACATACAGTATAATAATGGGGAGGGCAGTACTGACATCAAGACATCATCACCCCACTAAAATTTGTATTATGTGCAGTCTTCCCTCTCAGTAATTACCATATTTTTGAATATTATTTTGCATTTCCCCCTGCGAAAGAAAAAATGTCAGGCTGAATGTTTCCTGACTGTGCTAAGTGCCACTCAAACAACTGTAAAATAATGAAGGTGCTGTCGATTAAAGCACCTTTGCAGTGAAAACAAAGCCTTTTTGCTGCTCTCTCTGCCCCCCCTTGTATTTTGCAGAGGAAACCTCCTGACATTGTCATGTGATCAAATCACGTTACCATCCCTAGCCTATGCAGCAAGCCCTCCTCCTAGGCTGCAACTTTTGAAATATAGACCAATGGGATCATGTGACCTAATATTAGAAGTAGATTTTATGGTATTTTATTAAATGAAGGTAATTAATGCATGTGTCAGCAATTTCCATT